TTTCTTGTTAATTTTTTTTAGAGGATCTAATCGGTGATGTGTGCGAGGTGTTGAAGTCCCTTGCTATGATTGTATTGCTGTTGATTTCCCCTTTGACGTTCTCCAGAGGTTTTTAAATGTATTTTGATGCTCCTTTGTTGGATGCATATATGTTTACTAAAGGTGTATACTCATGTTGGATATATCCTTTCAATATTATGTAGAGGCTTGCTTTGTCTCTAGTTATGGCCTTCATTTTGAAGTCTATTTAATCGGATAAGAGTATTGCTACCCCAGCTTCTTTTTCCTTTTCGTTTGCTTGGAAATTTTTTTTCCATTCCTCTACTTTCAACCTATGTGATTCTTTTGTTGTGAGATGAGTCTCTTGTGAACAACATACATATGAGTCATGCTTTCTTATCCATTCAGCTACTCTGTCTTCTGATCAGAGTGTTTAATCTATTTACATTTAAAGGTATTATTGATATGTACTTATTTATTGACATTTTTGTGTATTATGGTTATGTTTCTCTTCCTGTTTTTTCTACTTACTACAGAAGTCCTTTTAACCTTTCTTGGAGTGCTGGTTTTGTGCCAATATATTCCCTTAACCTTTTTTTATTTTTATTTTTCTCGGAAGCTCTTTATTTCACCTTCTATTTTGAATGAAAGCCTTGCTGGTTAGAGTAGTCTTGGATTCAGATCCTTGTTTTTTATGACTTTGATTATTTCATGCCATGCCCTTCTGGCCTGTAGTGTTTTTGTTGAGAATTAAGTTGATAACTTTATGGGGATTCCTTTGCTTATAACCTGTTGCTTATCCCTTGTTACCTTTAGGATTCTCTCTTTGTCTTTAATTTTTGGGTTTTCAATTATGATGTGTCTTGTTGTGGGCCTCTTTGGTTCTTTTTACTTGGGGCTCTCTGTGTTTCTTATACTTATGCCTTTTTCCTTCACCAAGATAGGGAAGTTTTCTATCACTGTTTCTTCAAAAATATTCTCTAACCCATTTTCATTTTCTTCTTGTGGTACTCCTATTATGTGGATGTTGTTATGTTTCATATTGCCCTGCAGTTCTCTTAGGCTGTCTTCCATTTTTTTAATTGTTTTTTTTTCTTTTTTCTTTTTGGTTCTCTGCTTGGGTGATTTTTTTTCTACCCTGTTGTCTAATTTATTGATCCAGCTCTCGGCCTCCTCTACTCTGCTGGTTATTCCTTCCAGTGTGTTCTTTATTTCTGCTATGTCATTCTTCATTTCTAATTGTTTGGTTTTCAATGTTTCTACATCTTTACTCATGCTGCTGAGCTTTTTACTCTTGCTGCTGAGCTTCCTTATGATTATTACTCTGAACTCTGCCTCTGATATCTTGCTTAATTCCATTTCATTTATTTAATCTTCTGTTGAATTATCTTGTTCTTTCATTTGGGATTTGTTTCTTTGTTTCACTATTTTGGCTGTCATTGGGTTTTAGAGCCTGCCAAATTTTCCCTGTGGGTGTTGGTGTCCTGCTGATTGTGGCTCCCTCTCCTGAGTTTGGATGAGTGTGGGAGCACCCAGTCTTACTTTCATGGGTAGATTTTCAGGCCAAGCAAAGGTTCAGTTATCCTCTAGTTTTTGCCTCTAGGCTACTAGTCTCAGTTACTTGGTGAGCCTGTGGTTATATCCATCAGCTGAATGAAACATCCCTCACGTGTACAGTATAAGAGGATTTCCAGTGGGTGGGGCAATTGCTTACTGGTAGTCTCTAGCTGTTAATGAGCCTCAATTTACATTTCTCTTGCCTGGCCTGGTGATGTTAAATTCCTGAGAGAGGGGCTGTTGCTTCTCCCAGGGGCTCTTTGAGTACGATGGCTACTGTCCTATGTGGGAGTGATTCAACATAAAACTCCCGTGTCTTCCTTCCCAATTCTTACCCCTGAGCCCCAACACCCCAACTCTCTTTACACAGTTCCAGTTCTCTCTGTCCTCCCTCTGCCAGAGGTGAGTGGCTGTGGCTGATTTAGTGCTCTGTCCCTTCAGGTAACTGCTGTTTTTTTTTTGTTTTTTTTTTTTTCTGCACCTCTCCTTCTTGGAAAAGCCTCATCTCTGGTGATCTCAGTCAGGTGCTATGCGGGCGCCTTTCCATGCCCCGCCAGTCTTTGCTGTGGAGCCAGCTTCGGATTTTAACCCCCAACTTTTAAGAGGTAACTGCTCACAGCTGAAACAGCCCTCTGCTGCTCTCTGTGGGCTCCCAGCCTGCCCTCTTGCCCCTCTGCAGTTTCTAGCAGGCTCGATTTGTTGTCCTCTTTGTATCCCTGGTCATAAGTGTTCTCTCCAGCTGCTTTTCAGTTGTTTTTTTCTTGATGATTTGTCTTTATTCTAGTTGTAATTCCAGATTGGTCCTGGGAGACTGTCTGTTTAGGTTCCATTCACTCTGCTGCCATTTTTTTCTCCTGTATGGTCTGCTTTTCACACAAATTTGGAAGATTGGATTGCCCCAGATTGGCTAGTGACCTAGACTTATAAAAGGCAATGCTTGCAAGTCAATGAGTTAATGGTACAGGATCTTTACTCTCACCTACAAGGCCAAGGTCACAATGCTTCTAAGAGGCAGGGCTGGGTATCCCAATCAGTATTCAGGTTCAAGCTTATCCAACACACAAGTCTAATCATACCTCACAAGTGCAGAAGGTCTTAATATATCACCAAAACTGTTCTGTGTGGAATTCAGGGAATGATCCTTGAGAATTTCCTGTTTTAGTGAGAACTGAAGGATGCACAGGTAATTCGTTCTTTTATAGATCATACCTTTGGGTTATATCTAAAAAGTCATTATCATGCTTAAGTTCATGTAGGTTTTCTTTGTCATCACATAGGAGTTTTATAGTTGAAAATTTTACAGTTAGGTCTGCGATTCATTGTGAGCTTAGTTTTTTGAAGAGTGTAAGGTCTGTGACTAGATTTTTTTTTTTTTTTTTGCATGTGGATGTCTAGTTGTTCTGGCACCATTTGTTGAAAAGACTATCTTTGCCCTGGCTGGTTTGGCTCAGCGGTAAGAGAGTCAGCCTGTGGACCAGAGAGTCCCGGGTTCAGTTCCCACTAAGGGTATGTACCTCAGTTGCAGTTTGTCCTTGGTCCCGGTTGGGGTCATGTGGGTGGCATCCACTCAATGTGTCTCTCTCACATTGATGTTTTTTTTCTCTCTCTTCCTCCCCCTCTCCCTCCTGCTTTATCTGAAGATAAATGCAAAAATGTCCTCAGGTGAAGATAAAAAAAAAAAAAGAAAAAGACTGTCTTTGCTTCCTGGTACTGCCTTTGCTTCCTGGTACTGCCTTTGCTCCTTTGTCAAAGATCAGTAGACCGTATTTATGGGAGTAGACCTGAGTTTTATAAAACCTGATTTGCAGCAGAATCCTCTGGAGAATTGCTGTCAAAGTGCTTATTCCTAGCATACTCTCCCAGAGGATCCTGTTTAGAAGGCTTTTCCCAGGGCCTAGAAATCAGCAAAATGAGTACAGATATCCCAGCCGGTGTGGCTCAGTGGATTGAGCGTTGTCCCATGGACTTAGAGGGCCCAGCTTAATTTCTAGTCAGGACACATGTCCAGGTTGCATGCTCCATTTCCATTAGGAGGCTGGCAAGAGGCAGCCAATCGATGTTTCTCTCTTACATCAATATTTCTATCTCTCCCTTCTTCTATCTCTAAAAAAAATTAGTAAAACCATATTATAAATAAATAAATGACTACAGATGATTCTGCACTAACAGGTCAAGGGTTTGGGACTCTTTACTCTTAGTCCATTATTTAAACAGTTTCCCTTTTCTGCTGAAAATTTGCACAGTTCCCATTGTGGCTGATGATATAAAACTCAACTCTATGTCTTCTGCCAGTTACTACAAAACAGAATCCTTTGATAGTGTAGACAATAAAGTGTAATTAATCAGCATATTCTCTCTGCCTGCACTCTGCTAGGTGCTGATGATATTTGAGGAATGGTATGTGTAGAGGTTTTTGAAATGGGAAATAATATACCAGCAGTACAGGTATTGGAAGAGAGTTAAAGCCACATGGTGAGTAAGACACTTAGAAAGCCAGTGTGTTCTGGAACATAGAGCTGGCAGTAATTGGAGGGAACTAGTAATGATGATCCTAGAAGTCAGTCTGGAGAATACATGAAGCCTGAAGTGATTAGGACATGAAACTGGGTGAGGGCAATGGGAATATCACAGAAGAGAATCCAAGAAGCTTTGCAAAGGAAGAAATACCAGAATTTGGTGATAGAATATAAAGAAAGGAGGGGGCAAAGGTGATTTCAAAGGCTGTGATTGAGGAGCCTAGAGGAAATGAGTTCTGACTGGTAGAAATTGGGAACATTAGAAGAAAAGGCAGAATATCAGGGAAGAGGGCGTATATGTTTTGGATGTTAAATTTGAGGCAAGAGTAGAACACTCAAATGGAGCAGTTGGAAATCTGGCACTGGATCCAAGGTGAGAAGTCAGGACTAGGCATCCCTAGCATAGAAATTCTAGTCAGGGGATGGAAGTGATAACTCTGGGGTGAACAGATGAGGGAGTAATAAATAAAGAGGAATGTGCAGATGGCTGTAGACTGGGTGGGAACCCTCTGAGAAGAGGAAAAGGGAAAGGAACAAGATAAGAAAACAAGGAAGGAGCAGAAAGAAAGACCAGAGGAGGACTGTGGAATTCAGCACACGGGATATTTTCAAGAAGCATAAAACTTCTCAGCCTGGCCTCATAACACCTAGTATTCAGAAGAGGAAAAAGAACCAGTACTCATAGCTTCCATAGCTATTGAAAAGGACCAGTGTTCATAAAAAAGGAACATTTGTTTCTTCTTGGGGTATAAAATGGAACTATATAAAATAGGGTTTTAGAAAAAGCTATCTAGCCATATTGTAAATATTGCTTTTTGTGGTCATCTTTAGTCATTAAAAAACAAAACAACAACAAAAACTTCTACCATTGTTTCTTGAGTTCCTTTTTAAAAATAATGCAGAAAATTGTCTCATTTTACCTTTTAGGCACAGCAGCCTGGGAAAAATTCTTCAATGTGAAAACATCCATAGAGAAGGACAACGTATTAGCTGTTCTTTTACTCCTACTAAAATGAAGGATTCCAGTTTTGAACAACAGAGTGTTCAAGTGATGGTCAAGGATAATGCAGGAAAAATTAGACCATCCTTTAATATAGTGCCTTTAGATTCTCATGGTAAGTTTTTGGGTTTTTTTTGAGATTTTTAAAATTATTAATTTATTTTTGTTACAGATATTTCTCCTCCCCTCCCCCCCCAGACACCCTTCTCCCTATCCCACCCCCAGCATTGTTGTCTTGTCCATTGGTTATGCATATGTGCATATAAATTCTTTGGTTTATCTCATCCCTCCCCCACGTCCTCCTCTGAGGTTTGTCAGTCTGAACCGTACTCCTTTTATGTCTCTGAGTCTATTTTGTTCATTATTTTCCACAAATATATGAGATCATGTGGTGTTTGTATTTCTCTGATTGGCTTATTTCAGTTAGCATAATGCTCTCCAGGTCCCTCCATGTCGTCTCAAAGGATAAGAGATCTTTCTTTCTTACAGCTGCATAGTACTCCATTGTGTATATGAATCAGCTTTTGCATCCACTCATCTGTTGATGGACACTTGGGTTATTATCAGATCTTAGCAATTATAAATACTGCTCCTATGAACATGGGGGTACATATAGTCTTTCTGATTGGTATTTCAGGCTTCTTAGGATATATTCCTAGAAGTGGGATCACTGGGTCAAATGGCAGATCAATTTTTAATTTTTAAATTTTTAGGTAACACAATAGTGTTTTCCATAGTGGCTGGACAGGTCTGCATTCCCACCAGAAGTGTACTAGAGTCCCCTTTTCTCCACACCCTCATAAGGACTTGTTGTTTGATGATTTGTTGATGGCAGCCATTCTGGCAGGTTTGAGGTGATACCTCATACTTGTTTAAATTTGCGTCTCTCTGATGATTAGTGATGTTGAACATTTTTTCATGTCTCCTGGCAATTTATATGTCCCTTTTGGAGAGGTTTCTATTTAGGTCCTCTGCCCATTTTTTAATTGGGTTCTTTATCTTCCTCTACGTATTTTGGAAATTAACCCCTTATCTGATGTACCATTGGCAATTATGCTTTCCCATATAGTAGGTTCCCGTTCCATTTTAATGATGGCTTCTTTTGCTGTGCAGAAGCTTTTTAGTTTGATGTAGTCCTATGTATTAATATTTTCCTCTGTTTCTCTTGCCTTAGGTGTTGTATCAGTGAAAATTCTACTGCATGTGATATCTGAAATTTTGTTGCTTACAATTACTTCTAGGATGTTTATGAATTCACGGGTCACATTTAAGTCTTTTATCCACTTTGAGTTTATTCTTGTGTATGGTGTAAGTTGATGGTCTAGTTTCATTTTTTTTTTTTTTGTATGTAGCTGTCTAGTTTTCCCAACACCATTTATTAAAGAGGCTGTCTTTACTCCATTGTATTCTCCTGCCACCTTTGTCAAATATTAATTGAGCATAACGTCTTGGGTCAATTTCCAGGTTCTCTGTTCTGTTCCATTGATCTATCTGCCTGTTCTTGTGCCATTATAAAGCAGTTTTGATTACAATGGCTTTGTAGTATAACCTGATACCTGGTATTGTGATCCCTCCAACTTTGTTCTTTTTTTTCAAGATTGCTGTGGCTATTCAGGGTCTTTTTTGGTTCCATACAAACTTTTGAAGTATTTGTTCTAGTTCTGTGATACATGTCATTGGTATTTAGTGGGGATTGCATTGATTGCTTTGGGTAGTATAGACATATAAAAAATATTTTTCTTTATTGATATTTAGCAAGAGGGAGAGAGAGATAAAAACATTGATGAGAGAAAACATCGATTCACCGCCTCCTGCATGCCCCTCACTGGGGATTGGGTCCAGCACCTGGGACTGTGCCCTGACCGGGAATTGAACGGGCAACCTCCTGTTGCATGGGTTGACACTCAACTACTGAGACACACTGAACGGGCAGTATGGACATTTTAATGATGTTAGTTCTTCCAATCCATGAACAAGGTATTTGTTTCCACTTTTGTATATCTTCCTCTATTTCTTTTTTCAGTGTCCTATAGTTTTCTGTGAATAGGTCCTTTACTTGTTTAGTTAAGCTTATTCCTAGGTATCTTAATTTTTTTGCCACAATGGTAAATGCAATTGTTTTCTTAATTTCTCTTTCTGTGAATTTATTATTGGTATATAAGAAAACTGTCGATTTCTTGATGTTAATTTTCTATTTTGCTACCTTGCCAAATTTGTTAATTAAACCTAGCAGATTTTTCATGGAGCCTTTAGGATTTTCTATGTACAATATCATGTCAACTGCAAATAATGACAGTTTCACTTCCTCCTTTCCAATTTGGATCCCTTTTATTTTTTCTTCCTGTCTGATTGCTGAGGCTAAGACTTCCAGTACTATGTTAAATAAGAATGGCAAAATTGGGCATCCCTGTCTTGTTCCTGTTCTTACGGGAAATGCTTTTAGTTTTTGTCCATTGAGTATGATGTTGGCTGTAGGTTTTTCATATATGACCTTTATTATGTCGAGATATGATCCCTCTATTCCCAGATTGCTGAGCGTTTTTGTCAGAAATGGGTGTTGGATTTTGTCGAATGTTTTTTCAGCATCATATGATTTTTATCTTTCGTTTTGTTTATGTGGTGTATCACACTTATTCATTTGCAAATATTGTACCAGCCTTGCATGCCTGGGATGAATCCCACTTGGTCGTGGTGAATAATTTTTTTGATGAATTGCTGGATTCGATTTGCTAGTATTTTGTTCAGGATTTGGGGATCAATATTCATCAGGAATATTGGCCTGTAGTTTTCTTTCTTTGTAGTGTCTTTTTCTGGTTTTGGAATTAGAATTATGATGGCCTCATAAAACAAATTTGGAAGTCTTCCTTCTTCTTGAATTTTTTGAAATAGTTTGAGGAGAATGGGTGTTAGTTCTTCTTTGAATGTTCGTTAAAATTCCCCCATGAAGCCATCCAGGCCTGGGCTTTTGTTTGCTGGGAGAGTCTTGATTACATTTTAAATTTCTTTTGTTGTTATTGGTCTGTTCAAGTTTTCTATCTCTTCCCGGTCCAGTTTTGGGAGACTGTGTGTTTCTAGAAATTTATCCATTTCGCTTAGATTGTCGAATTTGTTGCAATATAATTGTCCATAATATTTGTTAACAATCCTTTGTGTTTCTGTGGTGTCAGTTATTATTTCTCCTCTTTCACTTCTGATTTTGTGTAATGGGTTTTCTCTCTTTGTTTCTTGGTGAGTCTAGCTAAGGGTCCATCAATCTTGTTTATCTTTTCAAAGAACCAGCTCTTTGTTTCATTGATCCTTTGAATTGTTTTGTTTTTTTGGTCTCCATGTCACTTATTTCTGCTCTGATGTTTACTATTTCCTTCCCTCTGCTTTCCTCTGAGGTTTTCTATCTGTTTGCTTTTTAGTTCTTTAAGATGTGAGGTTAGATAGTCTATTGGAAATTTTTCTTGTTTCTTGAGGTAGGCCTGTAGTGCTATAAACTTCCCTCTCAGAACTGCTTTCGCTGCATCCCATAGCTTTTATGTTATTGTGTGTTCATTTTCATGCTGTCCAGGATTTTTTTTTTTTTATTCTCACCCGAGGACATTTTTCTATTTTTTGTTCAGGTAGAGTGGGAGGGGGAGAGAGGAAGTGAGAGAGAAACATCAATGTGAACGGGACACATCGAATGGCTGCCACCCACATGACCAACCAGGGCCGGGGACAAACTGCAACCAAGGTACATGTCCTTAGTGGGAACCGAACCTGGGTCTCTCGGGACCGCAGGACGATGCTCCAACTGCTGAGCCAAACCAGCCAGGGCTCTCCAGGAAGTTTTTAATTTCTTTCTTGATCTCCATGGTAGCCCATTCATTGTTCAATAACATACTATTTAGCCTCCATTTTTAAAAATTTCTTCTCATGTTCTTGTTGCAATTGATTTCTAATTTCATGCCATTGTGATCTGAGAAGATGCTGAGAATATATGATTTCTTTTTTAATTAACTTATTTAATTAATTAATTTATTTATTTTTAAATTAAAGTATTTATTTTTGTTACAGATGTTTATCCTTTTTACCTCACTGATTCCCCCCTCTCTCTTCCTCTCTGCTCTATCCCCAGCTTTGTTGTCCATGTCCATTGTTCATGCACACATGCATATAAGTTCTGTGGTTTATCTCTTCTCCCAGCACCGCCTCTTCTGGGAATTGTCAGTCTGTACTCCACCTCCACGTCTCAGGGACTACCCCAGTCCTCAGATTGTTATGTTCATTATATTCCACAAATAAGTGAGATCATATGATACCTGTCTTTCTCTGTTTGGCTTCTTTCTCTTAGTATAGTACTTTCCAGGTCCCTCCATGTTGTCTCAAAGGATAAGAGATCTTTCTTTATTACAGCTGCATAGTACTCCATTGTATATATGTACCACAGCTTTTTTATCCATTCGTCTACTGATGGACATTTGGGCTGTTTCCAGATCTTAGCTATTCTAAATAGTGCAGCTACAAACATGGGAGTACATATATTCTTTCTGATTGGTGTTTCAGCCTTCTTAGGGTATATTCCTAGAAGTAGGATCACTGGGTCAAATGGAAGTTCAATTTTTAATTTTTTGAGGTAACACCATATTGTTATCCATAGTGGCTGCACCAGTCTGCACTCCCACGAGCAGTGTACTAGAGTCCCTTTTCCTCCACACCCTCGCCAACACTTGTTGTTTGATGATTTGTTGATGGCGTCCATTCTGACAGGTGTGAGGTGATACCTCATTGTTGTTTTAATTTGCATCTCTCTGATGATTAGTGATGTTGAGCATTTCTTCATATGTCTCTTAACCATTTGTATGTCCTGTTTGGACAGGTGTCTATTTAGTTCCTCTGCCCATTTTTCAATTGGGTTCTTTGTCTTTTTTTTTGTTGAGTTGTATGATTTCAGTTTTCTTGAACCTATAGAGACTTAGTTCGTGCCCTAACATGTGGTCTGTCTTTGAGAATGTCCCATGAGCACTTGAGACGAATGTGAATTCTGCAGTTTTGGGTTGTAATTCTGTGTAGATACCTATTATATCCATGTGATCTAGTGCTCCATTTAGAGTCTCTGTTTCTTTGTTAGTTTTTTGTCTAGAAGATCTATCCCGTGACATCAGCAGGGTGTTGAAGTTCCCTGCTATGATTATTGCTGTTGATTTCTCCTTTGAAATCCTCCAGATGATTTTTAATGTATGTTGGTGCTCCTATATTGGGTGCAGATATGTTTACCAAGGTTCTATCTTCCTGTTGGATAGATCCTTTCAATATTATGTGGTGGCCTTCTTTGTCTCTAGTTATGTCCTTCATTTTGAAATTTACTTTATCAGATATGAGTATTGCTACCCAAGCTTTATTTTTCCTTTCCCTTCGCTTGAAAGATTTTTTTTCATCTCTTCACTTTCAACCTGTGTGAGTCTTTTGTTGTGAGGTGGGTCTCTTGTAAGCAGCATATATGTGAGTCATGTTTTCTTATCCAGTCAGCTGTGTCTTTTTATCGGAGCATTCAAACCATTCACATTTAAGGTGATAATTGATATGTACTTATTTATTGTCATTTTTCTTTAGTATAGTTATATTTTTCTTTCTATTTCTTCTACTAATTACAGCAGTCCTTTTAGCATATCTTGCAGTGCTGGTTTGGTGTTAATATTATCCCTTGGCCTCTTTTTGTCTGGAAAGTTCTTTATTTGACCTTCTATTTTGAATGATAGCCTTGCTGGGTAGAGTAGTCTTGGATTCAGATCCTTGTTTTTCATGACCTTGATTACTTCATGCCATTCCCTTCTAGCCTGTAGTGTTTCTATTGAGAAGTTAGCTGAGAGCCTCATGGGGTTTCCTTTGTAGGTAACCTGTTGCTTATGTCTTGCTGCCTTTAGGATTCTCTATTTGTCTTTAATTTTTGGTATTTTAATGACTGTGTCTTGGTGTGGGCCTGTTTGGGTTCTTCTTACTTGGGGCTCTCTGTGCTTCTTGAACTTGAATGCCTTCTTCCTTTACCAAGTTAGAAAAGTTTTCTGTCACTGTTTCTTCAAATGTATTCTCTAACCCTTGCCCATTTTCTTCTTCTTCGGGGACTCCTATGATGCGAATGTTATTACATTTCCAGTTGTCCCACAGTTCTCTTAAGCTATCTTCCTGTTTTTAAATTGTTTTTTCCTTTTGGTTTTCTGATTGGTTGATTTTTTTCTACCCTATCTTCTAATTCACTGATCCGGTCCTCAGCCTCCTCTACTCTGCTGGTTGTCCTTCCAATGTGTTCTTTATTTCTGATATGTCATTCTTCATTTCTTCTTGGTGGTTTTTAATTTCCAGCTGGTTGATTTTCATTATTTCTATGTCTTTACTCATGGTGCTCATGTCCTTACACATGCCGTTGAGCTTCCTCAAGATCATGGCTCTGAATTCTAGTTCTGTTAACTTGCTTAACTGCACCTCATTTATCTCCTCTTTGGTAGAAGTCTCTTGTTCTTTCATTTGGCTTTTGTTTCTGTGTTTCAACATTTTGGCTCTCATAGTGGGCTTTGGAGCCTGCCAAATTTTCTCTGTGGGTGTTGGTGTTCTGCTGTTTGTGGCTCCCTCTCCTGGGTTTGGATGAGCCAGGGAGGACCCACATTAAACACTAGTGTCATGTGTTACTTTCCTGGTTATAGTTACTAGCCAGGAATGGTACAGTTATCCTCTAGCTTTTTGTCTGGATGATATCAGTAGTGGTAACTTGAAGATTATTGGCTTCTCAGTTGAATGGAAAACTCCCTCATGTGTTCAGAGTAAGGGGATTTTCTGAAGGTGGTGCAGATGCTGGTTGTTAATGGGCCTCAATTTGCATTTCTTTTTTTTTTTTGATATTTTCTTCAGATAGAGTAGGGGAGAGAGAGAGAGAGAGAGACAGAGAGAGAGAGAGAGAGAGAGAGAAACATCGACGTGAAAGGGACACATCGAGTGGTTGCCACCCTCACAACCCAACCAGAGACGGGGACAAACTGCAACCGAGGTACATGCTCTTAGCGGGAACCAAACCCGGTTCTCTCTTGACCACAGGCCGATGCTCCAACCGCTGAGCCAAACCAGCCAGGGCCTCAGTTTGCATTTCAATGGCCACCAGGTGGCGTTGAATCTGGGAGGGAGGGGCCGCTGCCTCTCCCCAGTACCCTAGGAAGGAGTAAGATGACCAGGGTTCTTTGTGGCTGCTACTCAGCAAAAGCAGCTCAGCAAAATCTCTGAGCATTATCCAAATCCTGAGTGTCCCTACATAATTCCAATCCAGTCTGCCCTCCCTCTGTCGGAGCCCAAGGTAAGTGGCTGTGGCTATTTTAGCCTGTGTCTCGGCTCTGCTCTGTGGAGCCGCTTGGGAGTTTAACCAGAGGGCGCTGCTCCCAGCTAAGGCCGCTCTTCACAGGTATGGCTGCTGCCAAGCTGCTGACTGTCGGCTCCCAGCCCCCCTCTCATGCCTCCACAGTCCTACCAGGATTGAGTCAGTATCCCTGGTTATGTGGTCCTCCAAGCTGCTTTTCTGTTGCTTTTTCCTGACGATTTGTCTTTATTTTCGTTGTAATTCCAGTTTGGTCCTAAGAGATGGTCTGTGTAGCTTCCATTCACTCTGTCGCCATTTTGGAATCCACCTCTTACTAGGCAATTTAAATTAAGCTTCCTACATTAATCATGGCTAATCAGAAATCCAAAACTGTATGTCTGACCATGTAAAGCCATTAAAACTATCAGCCCTATTTTGATTAAATTTTGTGACCTTCGTTTTCTGTACTCACATATATATCTCATCGAAATATACTCTGGGCCCTGCATGGTGTGGCTTAGTTGGTTAGACATCATCCTGTGCACCAAAAGGTTGCTGTTTTGATTCCCAGTCAGGGTACATGCTCAGGTTTCGGGCTTGATCTTCAGTAGGGGGTGTGCAGGAGGCAGCCAATTGATGTTGTGCTCTCACATTGATGTTTCTTTCTCTCTCTTTCCCTCTCCTTTCCTTTCTCTCTAAAAATCAATAAACCAGTCTTTATAAAAAGGATTAAAAAATAAACTGTGGAACCTAATTTGTATTCTTCTGTTTGTATCTTTCAGTACAACCTGATCCTCCACATATTAAAAGGCTCTTCTTCCAACGTGATGGCTTATATGTGCTAGGAAAAAAGTCACAGAATTTTCGTAGCCGTTGCTTATCTTATCAAGTAGAAGTCAATAACAGCCAAACTGAGATGCCTTTGATTTTATCCGTAAGTTTTTTTATTGTTGTTTTTTTAAAATATTTTCTCACTTGATTTTCTTACACTGTAACACATTGATATATCAGTGAAATTTAGCTCTTAGATTTGTCACATGATTATTATGATACTGAAACTTCTTACCTGAAATTGGGTGGTAGAAGGTCTGAGGGTTTATGATAGTATTGACTTTGAGATTCAAGCCATACATTGATTCACTTGCTCAAAAATATTTTATTAGCCCTGGTCGGTGTGGCTCAGTGGATTGAGCATCATTCCATGGACTGAGAGGTCCCAGTTTGATTTCCAGTCATGGCACATGCCCAGGTTGTGGGCTTGATCCCCAGTAGGATGTGTGCACGAGGCAGCTGATAGATATTCCTCTTTCACATTGATTTTTTTTTCTCTGTCCCTCCCTCTCCCTTCCTCTCTCTCTAAAAATCAATAAAAACATATTTAAAAATTTTATCATGTATCTATCATGTGCCATGCACTATTTTATGTGTACGTGACACCCAGTGAAAAGTTTTTTTTTTTCCATGAAGCTTATATACTAGAAGCAAAATATGTAAATGAACAAGCTAATTTTAGCGAATGGATGCTTTGAAGAAAATTAAACAGGGTGATATAGTAGAGTGATAGGAGGGCCTGAGGGAACGTAGAGTAGTCATCCAAAGTGATGACATTTAAGATGAGACCGGAATGATGAGCAGGAGCTAGCCATGTGAAGATCCTGGATTGGAGGGGATAGTAAGAACAAAGACTGAAGCAGGAATGAGTGTGGCATGTGTGAAAAACAGAATGGACGCTGGAGTCAGATCAGGCAGATACTTGGAGGCTCTGGTATGGCCATTCAGTTTTCTTGGAGTTTGTGGCAGCTAAAGTATTCAAATTTGAGTAGTCAGTATTGGTTGGATTATACAGTTTTGCTATTCAGAATCTAATACAAAACATGCTGATTAGGGGTCCCTGTGGAGCACTGGGCATAACAGCATGTGGCAGCCTCAGGATATCAATCTCATTGATACATTTCAGAGTAGAGGTCACAAACTAGGGCTCAGACATTTTTATTTGGACCACAAAGTGGAGTTTTGTTTGTTTGTTTTTTAAATTTGAATTTTTTTGCCCAGGTTTAAAACTGTGGTACCCGAGGAATATAGTTTCCATAGGTGGTGCCTTAAGACTACAGGGACTGTGGCACTCACTTGTGTGCCACCCACTTGTGTGCCACCTGCCCCAGCCCTATGTGCATTTGAGTTTTAGAAGTTTGAAACCAAGTATTTTGCATTAGCTTTTAAAGTAGCCCAACATCTCACATGTGGGCAAATTTCTTGGTTCACTTGCTTTAGCTCATGGGAGTTTCAAAATACAGACTTGCAATGCTTTGACTTATGATGAGGCCAAAAACGATATACATTTGGTAGAAACTGTACTTCAGATTTTGAATTTTGATCTTTTCCTAGACTAGCGATATGCAGTAAGATACTCTCTCGTGTGTAATTGATTTTAGTTCAATGCTTCAAACATTCTTCAGGCCCACTGTGCTTTTAGCTGTGTACATGAATGGTGATTACCCATACATCCACTGTTTTTCACTTTCTGTACAGTATTCCACAGATTACATGAGATATTCAACACTTTATAAAATAGGCTTTGTGTTAGATGATTTTGCCCCACTGTAGGTAATATAAGTGTTCTGAGCACATTTAATGTAGGCTAGGCTAAGCTATGATGTTCGGTAGGTTAGATATATTAAATGCATTTTCAACTTATGATATTTTCAACTTATGAGGTGTTTTTTGGGATGTAACCCTATTATAAGTTGAGGAGCATCTCTACTTACTAAAATAAGCCAGTGTTGACCGGCTAGTAACTCCAGAGGGAGCAAACAGGCCCACAGCTGAGCAGAGCTCTTCTGGGCATTTGCAGTTGAATCCATTTCTGAAATAAGAGTAACCATTATCTGAAACAGAAACCAGTGTCCTCATACAGTACTGCAACGAGGAAAAGCAAAGGGCTTCCAGCATGGGGGTGCAGCTTGCATTTCCAGCTAAGTGAGCTTTCAGAAAGCTGAAATCTACTTGACTACTCCAGCCTTTACTCCTGTCTTCTGTCAAATCCCGAATACACATGCTGCTTGTATTACTCATTTGGCACAGAATTATGTCCTGCTACTTACCCTGATCATGTGTGTAGGCCGGTTCTTTCCACTAAAACTATAAGCTCCTGTAGGGAGGAGTTAAGTGGTGTTTACTTTTTGCTGTCCCTTCTATTAATAGCAGTAACTAACAAGTATTGAGCAATTATTATGTACTAGGTATTTTAATAAGCATTTCATCTGAATTGTCTCATTAAGTCCTCACAGTAGTAACCCCAAGGATCTAGATCCTGTTTCCCCCCCTCCATTTTTTACAAATGAGAAAACTCAATCTCAGAGGTTACTCCTAAGATCACATGTCTAGAAAGTGGTAGATTCAAGACTTCAGCAAAAGTCTAAGTTCAAAGATTTTGTTCTTAACCACAGGGGATCACAATACTTTCTCTTAATAGTAAGAGCCATCCTTTATTAAGTATTTATGATATGCTACAAATATACTCTTCTGTGTACTTCTTATACAGTAGCTTATAACAATTCATGAAATAGGTTGCATTTTATTGAGAAACAAAGGCTCAAAGAGGTTAAGTAACTTACTACAGGCCACACAGCAATAAATATGACTTCAAAAGTTGGTCTCCATGTATTAAACTTTGACAAAGAATACTTGACATAACAATTGTGTAATCATCACTTAATGAATTTTTGTTGAATTATAATTACCTTTTTTATAAAGTTCTGAATGGAAGAGAACACACATACTATAGAATTTATTCACCTAAATCAGAACTATAGTCTATGTGGAATTAACTCTGTTTATACACTTGAGTTTAGTGTACTCTCTCCTAGCAGATGGTCACCAGCTGCTTCCTCCCCTAGAATGTCATCAGCTTTTTATGTGCTCCCTGATCTTGAGCTTTGTTGGTTAGATTTTTTTTCCTTTTTGCAAGACTTTTTGAGGAATGATTTTGCCTACTGTTCCATTTAAGAGGGGGAAGTAGGCTGGAACATGAACTGGTGCCATCACATGGGGGCTGTAGTCAGACGTAGCTCATGACAGAATCACAAAGTAAGGAATGACTTGTCTCTGACCACCCCTGTCCCTGCAAACTATCTACTTGCTTCTCTGTGTCTTTGTTTACATTTTCTCATAGAGGTACCTGAGCAACTGATAAACAACACAAGAGGATTTACATTTAAACAAGAGCCCAGAGCCTTTAATTTACACAGTGATTTGCTGATTTTGGAATATGGAATCTCTCAATCTCTTTCTCTCTCTCTCACTTTCTCTCTCTCTTTCTCCCTCTCCCTCTTTATCTATATCCATCTCTATTTATATTTGGGAGATGGTCCAAGGAAGGGACGACATTAACCTGCAACCTGATCCCTCAAGTAGTAGTTGACACTTGTGATTCCCTAGCAGGTTTCTGATTCCAAATGGCCAGCTGTGGGGTACAGTAGTCCCTGAGTGGCTTTTTCTCTGCCCTTATATGAAGTATTGATAGGATGGCCCTTCATCATTCAGTTGCCCTTTCAGCTCTTCACAAGTGCTGGTAGGAACCATTTAGTGAATGACATTGAATGCCAAAAATCATAGCTATGTGTTCTGGTCTTTGTCTCATGTTTAAACATCTCTGATAGAAATAGAATATTTTTATATTAATGTCTAAAAACTATGTTATACACCTGAAACTAATATAATATTGTATGTCAACTGTAATTGAAAAATCATATTTATTTTTTTTAAAATTGACTATTTTTCCACTCCCATCCCCTCAGGCACTGGCCAGTCTGTTCTATGTGTCCATGCTTCTGGTTCCATTTTGTTCATCAGTTTATTTTATTCATTAGATTTTACATATTATACCATATGGTATTTGACTTTCTCTGACTGGCTTATTTTGCTTAGCATAATGCTTTCCAAGTCCATCTATGCTATCGCAAAGGATAAGAATTCCTCCTTTTTTACAATTGCATAGTATTCCATTGTGCAAATGTACAATAGCTTTTTCATGCTGATTTCATTTCCTTTGGTTATGTACACAGAAATGGGATTGCTGGAATGTATGGTAGTTCTATTTTTAATTTTTGAGGAACTGTCATTGTCTTTTCCATAGTGGCTGCACTAGTTACATTCCCAGCAATAGTGCATGAGGGTCCCCTTTTTTCTATATCCTTGACAACTCTTGTTATTTGTTGATTTTTTTTATGATAGCCCTTCTAACAGGTATGAGATTATATCTCATTGTGGTTTTGATTTGCATTTCCTACTGATGAGTGATATTGAATATTTTTTCATATACCTATTGGCCAGAACTAGACTAAGCAACAGGTTTTCATGTGTTGACTTTTTACTCATTTTTGAAATATTTGTATTTCAGGAACTGATTATTCTCTTTACATCAGACAACAAGCGATGTAAATTGTGTGGAATTAAATTTTACATTAACCCAATTATTTTTCATATATTATACTCTTCACAAGACAGAATAATTTATCTCGTTCTTCTTTTAAACTTCTAATTGATGTAGGAGAAAAATTATACAAGTTATATACATTTCAATGATTTTTCACGAGTGATTTTTGCGAATGATATTTCACTTACATAACCAGCACCTCAGAAGCTCCATCGTGACCTCTTTTGGTCACTACTCTCCCAAAGAGCAACTATTAACCTGATTTCTAATCCCATAGATTAGTTTTGTTGACTCTTTTTAAACTTTATATAAATGAATTATAGTGATTTTATTTTTATGTGTGTCTGCCTTCTTTCATGCAGTGTTATGTTTATGAGATTGACTGATACTGTTGCTCGTAGTTGTAGATGGCTCATTCTCACTGTATTCATTCCACTGTGCCAATACAATACATTTAATTTATCCATTCTCCCATTGATGGACATTTGGAGAGTTTGGAGTTTTATGAATTTTTTTGTTGTTGTTAATAGAATCTTTTTTATTCAGAAAAACAATTTTTTTTTCCAACCACACACAGGAGGGGTATGGGTAGGGGGAGGTGTCTGTCCATCCATTCTTGGCTCCCAGCCCATATGGTTTTGGCAGCAATAAGGGGTGTAGGGTAATGGCCCCCCAAAATAAAAATGGTGTTTGTGTCTGTATGGGAGGAAGAAGGGTGCAAAAGCAGTGGGGAGTGGTAGTGGTGGGGGGAAGATGAAGTCAGTACTGGGAACGCCACAGGTGGGAGGCCATTTCATAACATTTCTTGTTGATCATACCACCGTGGACACCTTCTTTGCCCATCAGCAGGACTTGCGTCTTGGCAGTCATGGTTACAGTGATGTTGAAGGTGGGGGCTCCCCCGGTGCTCTTAGTACGAAGATCCATGGTAAATTTCCCATCCTGCAGCAGTGAGTCCTGGATCACAGAACATTTCTGGCCCCCAAGGGTAAACCCATTCAAGAAAAAACTTGACAGGTCTTTGCCAACCAGGACACCAACCTCAGCTGGTGTGATGTTGACGAAGGTTTTCCCAGGGATGGCGGCCCAGACGGAGGGCGAGTCCTTATAGCCACGATGGCCGCGTCCTGACAGGTCCCATCTGCCATGAGGTTGTCGATGTAGGCCTTCCACCCGGCCATGGCGCTGCTACTGGGGCTGCTCTTGGCGCTGCTGCTGGGACCGCGGGCTAGGCTCGGGCTGCCTCGGGCTGGCAGGCGCCGGGAGGTGGAGAGCTCGGGGCATGGACCACGGCTCTGCTAGCTGTTATGACCAGAATTTGTATTTTATTTTTAATTTTTATATTTTATGCTCACCCGAGGACATTTTTGCATTTATCTTCATATAGAGCAGGAGGGAGAGAGGGGGGAAGAGAGAGAGACACACGGACTGGCTACCACCCACAAGACCCCAACCGGGGCCAGGGACAAACTGCAACCGAAGTACATGCCCTTAGAGGGAACCAAACTCGGACTCTCTGGTCTGCAGGCCTACGCTCTAACTGCTGAGCCGAACTGGCTAGGATTATGACCAGAATTTTTATGAAAATTTTTATGCTTGTCTCTTGGTGCATACATTTTGGTTGGACATATATGTGTTGTAGGGTTACATCTAATTTTCTCTGGTAAATCATATCACTTTTCCCAAGTGATTTTGCAAATTTACACTACTAAGAGCAGAAATTGAGAGTACTAGATCCTTCATATCCACATCAACACTTGGTATTTATTGCCTGGTAGGTGTGTGTATTGTTATCTTTTGGATTTAATTTGCATTTTCTGATGAAATTGAGCACTTTTTCATGTTTGTTAGTGATTTGGATATCTTCTTGTGAAATGCCTATTCAAGTCTTTTGCCAGATTTTCTGTTGGGTTGTCTGTCTTTTACTTATTAAATTGTGGGATATACGTATATATGGGTGTGTATTATGTATAAATGTAAATATATATTATATAACACATATATGTAAGTCCTTTGTCGGAAATTGCAAATATATTCTCTCACTCTATGCCTTACTTTTTCATTCCTTTATTAGGATACATTTTGATGAACTGAAGTTTTTAATTTTAATATAGATTATTTTATAAAAAATTGTTTGTGGTTAATATTTTTGGTCCTATTTCAGAAATATTTTTATTTTGCTTCAAGGTCATGAAGATGTTCTATGTTTTTATCTAAATCTTGCTGTATTTATGTATTTATTAGCTTATTTATTTTAACTTTCACATTTTGATCTGCAGTACAATCCATCTGAAATTGACTTTGTAAATAGTGTGAGGTGGGGGGGGGTCAAGATTCTTTTTCCCCCCCATATGGATATATAATTGACCCAGCACCACTAATTTAAGCACCCATCTTTTTTCACTTCACCTGGTTCTTTTTTAATGGAATAAAGGAAACATTGTTGAAAATGGTTAAATGATGTAAAATGTGGTACTTTTAATATTTTTATTTTATTCATTTTTTAAAAATATTTTTAAGGTTGAAGAATCCATATGTGATCATTCAAAATTTGAAGGAAACCTGGAGGTCAGTAAATTCAACTTTAGCTATTTGGGGTTAAACTCGTGAGTAGTTGGGGGTGGGACCTGGTGAGCCTAAATTTGAACTGCTTTGAGAAAGATGACCTATTTTGTTCTGTGTGTTATTGCCAGTTTTATCCAGGAGTTAAGATCAGATAATTTGGATTACAATTCAAGTCTTAATCATATATAGCATTTGTGTGATAATTAGAATTAAGATTCAGAAGCAGAGAAAGAATAAACTGTTAATCTCCCTTGTGTTTTTTTTTTTTTTTTAATTTAAGGGTACAAGTTGTTTCTGGGTTCCTGGTGTTCTTTCTGATACTTTGAACACAATCAGAATGAGAGTCAAAACAAATAAGATATGCTATAAGGATGACGAACTCTGGAGTAATTGGAGTCCAGCGATGAGTATAGGTAAGGGATCAGTATTTCATTAAAACTTAAACCATTGATGCATGGAAACGAAGCTGAAGCAGAAAATAGGATGGGTGAAAGGGACTGTTCTACATTCTTATTATCAGCCAGAGAATATTACAGTTAAAATGTATTTTCTGTTTAATTACTGTTAAGTCACCCAGGTTTAATTTGCAATATATAGCACTTTGGAAATCCATAATCCAAATGGTATTATCTTCTCTTCTGTTCTGTCTCCATCTTTGTTAACAACCTGAAAAAAAATAAGAAGTAGGCATGATTAAATCTGCAGTGCTGGAGGACTAGACTTTGTGCTGGTGATAGAATCAAGACTAGAGTAGTGACCCTTGATGGCATTTAATGGAGATAAACCTATTATCTAGGTTTGAAAAAATTAGTTTCATTTATTGAGAGGTGAACAAGCTATATGTCAGGCTCAAGTATAGGATTGAAAAGACCCGTGATTTATGAATGTGTGTGTTGTAGGGTGGGATATAGGGATTTATTTGACTATAAACTCAAAGTGACTCAACATTGAATGCTTAAGTATTCCTAAAGGCATATGCAGTCACAGGCAGCAGTGATAGTGCAGCACCTAAAACAAGGGAGTGCTGCAGGGTGTGGCATAGTGTCCTGGCCACATCAGAAGTGTGCTATATTCATTCTGGGTACCACATTATAGGAGGTGCATCAGCACACTGGAATATATCCTTGAAAGGGTAATCAGAATGTTGAAGAATCTCAAAATTTAGGGAGAAACAGTTGATGAAGTAAGCTTTGGGAGTCATGATTGATTAGTTCTAATATTGAGGTATTGTCAGGTAGAAGAGGGAATAGGCTATCTTTTCTGTGGCTCCATGGGGCAAAATAGGACCAACTTAAGGACTTTCTAACAGCTATATAAACAATCAGAGAGACAGGTTGTTGAGATAGTCAATTCCCTATTAATTGAGAAACTGAACAAACTATGTGCCAGATAGGGTTGTATTAGTTATCTATTGTTGTCTAACTACCCCCAAAATACAGTGGCTTAAAAAAACACATATTTACCATCTCATAGTTTCTTTCTGTATGAGGAATCTGGGCACAGCTTAGCTAGGTACCTCTGGCTCACGTTCTCTCATGAGGTTACAGTCAAGCTATCAGCAAGGACTAGAGCCTCATCTGAAGACTTGACTGGGGCTGGAGAGTCCACTTCCAAGTTCACAACTAATGTGGTCATTAGAGAGCCTCAATTGCTCTCTGGCTGGTAGAGGGGGAAATATAGCAGGTTGAATAGTATCCCCCCAAAATATGTGTTTAAATTCCAACTCCTGCTATCTGTGAATGTGACCTTTATTGGAAATACAGTTTTGCAAATGTAATCAAGTTGAAATGAGGTCATACTAGCTTAGATTAAGCCCTAAATCCAATGACTAGTATTCTTATAAGTAGAAGAGAGAATTCACAGAAACACAAAGACACATAGCAAACAAAGACCATGTAAAGATGAAGGAAGAGATTGGAGTCTTTATCCAGTCCCTTGGATGTAACTTGATGTAACTACAAGCCAAGGAATACCAAAGATTCTGGTCCCCACCAGAAGCTTAGAAACGGGCAAGAAGGGATTCTTCTCTAGAGTCCCCAGAGGGAGCATGTCCCTGTTGATACCTTCATTTTGCACTTTTAGCCTCCAGAACTGTGAGAGGATATATTTCTGTTTATGCCAACCAGTGTTTGGTGATTTGTTAACAGCAATTCTAGGAAAATAACACAGAGCTCCCCCATCTCTGTTACTTGCACATGGAGCTCCTCACAGGGCTACTTCATGACAGAGCAGCAGCTGACTTCCCCAAGTGAGTGATCCAAGCAAGAAAGAGTGTATGAGAGAACACCCAAGGTGGAAACCACAGTCATTAATAACTTGGTCTTGGAAATGACATTCTATCACTGTTGCTGTTCAGTTCTTTACAAATGAGTCAGTTAGTCCAGCCCATCCTCAAGGGGAGGGGATTACATCAGGGTGTGAACATCAGAAAGCAGGGATCATTTTGGGTCATCTTAGAGGCTGCCTGAAACAATGATGCTAGGCCTTGATAATGCTTTCTAAATGTTCATGCCCTAGTGGAAAAGATAAGCAAATAAATAGACATACGGCATTTCATGTGTTAGGTGTAACAAGGCAGTTAATGAAAGACTTTGGAATTGGATGGTGCTGGATTTGAGGCTTGACTCCATCATTTACTAAACCTTTAGGGACAAGCCAGTAAACTCCTCTGAGCCTTATCCTTCTCATCTGTATAAATGGGAAACAATAATATCTATTTCTATAGCATAGATATAAGCATGTAGAAGCACCTAGTATGGTATCACACATATAGTAGGTGCTCAGTTAGGAATAGTAGTAGTGGTAGTTAGGATTATTTTAGGTGTTCCAATAGCATTAAGTAACCAATAAGAAAAGATACTCACTCTTAATGAGATAACATATTTAACAGTTATAACATCTTTGTTAATAGTGTCTGAAACCTGTTGAGATATCTTGGTTTCAGATAATTTTTAAGGTGTTTATTCATTCATAGAATTTTAGGCACCAGAGCAGGACTCCCCCCCCCCCCAAAAAAAAAATTAACATAACAGAAGATAAGTTAATTGAAAGGTTTTAGAAAATAGGTTGGAGTAGAGGGCAGAAATATCTGTGATCTCACTACTCTAGTAGAGCTGTTCTTTGGTTTATTTCTAAAGGGATTTTATTTCTCATATCTTTCTGTTTGCTTTATATTTTCCAGCTAAGAAGACCAATTCCACACTCTACATCATCTTGTTACTCATCATTCCAATTATTGTTGCAGGTGCAATCATAGTCCTTCTGCTTTATCTAAAAAGGTAAGGCAGCTGCCCAGGTAGACTTGACAGTTTCTGCTAGCCTGGTTGCTAAGGTTATTACTCTGTGTGGGTGTTTGATGTTTGCCCAGTGTATTAAAAGCATTTGGATTATGATGGGTTTTGGTAGTATGGCATGGCAAAGAAGCATTATCATGCCCATTTTCTGGTAAGGGAAGTGTTAGATAGTTTCCCAGGGCTCTGCTCAGTCACTGCTCTCTTTGTATGTGTTTAGAACTGTTGCTATGTTCACTCTACTCTTTCAAGTGTCTAAATTATTCAGTTAGTTGGTAGCTATTGGTATGAAGTTTTAGAAATGGAGACTATTGCTAATTAAATGATTTGTCTGGTATGAATGCAAAGCACATTGCTACTTAATGCTGTAGAAAAGAGAGTTGCGCTAAGTTGAATGTAATACACGGCATTCATTCCTTGAGAATGTTTTCCTTTCTCTATTTCACCATGTGGAATAGACTGGTGCTATTATTTGCTCTTTCAGTAAATATTTATTGTTGAAATAAGGTTATTTTTAAAATATATTTTCTTTATTGATTTTATTTTATTTATTTTTTTCTCCTCACCTGAGGACATTTTTGCATTTTTATCTTCAGATAGAGCAGAAGCGAGGGGTGGGGGAGAGAGAGAGAAACATTGATGTGAGAGCAACACATTGACACATACGACCCCATCCGGGGCCAGGGCCAGGGCCAGGGCCAGAGCCAAACTACAACCAAGGCACGTGCCCTTAGCAGGAACCAAACCTGGGACTCTCTGGTCTGCGGGCCAACGCTCTAACTGCTGAGCCAAACCAGCCAGGGCTCTTTATTGATTTTAGAGAGAGAGGAAGGGAGAGGGAGAGAGAGATGGAAACATTGATGAGAGAGAACATCGATTGGCTGCCTCCTGCATGCCCCACACTGGGGATTAGGCCCACAACCTGGGCATGTGCCCTGGTTGTGTGTGTGTATCTTTTATATATATACACGCACCTATACCTATACCTATACCTATACCTATACCTATACCTATACCTATACCTATACCTATACCTATACCTATACCTAACACAATAGTAAATACTATGACTTCACATAGTGAGTAGTAAAGTTGTGGGGCTGGTAAGGAGAAAGGCTAGATATTCAGAGAGGGAGTATTCCAGGCCAAGGGAACAGTAAGTGCAAAGGCTTCAAGGCTGGGATGAGCTTCGTGGTCTTGCTGGAATAAAGTGTGCAAGGGAGAGAGAGGCGATGAGGCTAGAGAGGTTTCCAGGGCTAGATCATGTAGGGCTGTAGGCCATGGCAAGTAACTGAAATTTTTATCTTATGCATAAGGGGGAAACAATTGGAAAGTTTTAAGCAGGGGAGGGATGTGATTTACTGTCACAAAAGATCTCTATAGTTGCTGAGTGAAGAATGGGCAAGAATAGAAGCAGGCAGATTAGTTTAGAAGGTATTGCTGGGTTTGAAGGGAAAGATGAGGGTAGCCTAAGCTAAGTGTTGGCAATGGAAGTAGTAAGAACTGGTCTGATGTGAGATATATTTTGAAGATAGAATTGATAGCACTAGGTGATGGCTGCTTTTATGAAGGTGCAGGGGAAATTGAGGATTCAAGCATAACTCTTAGATTTTTGGCTTCAGCAAACTGAGTGAATGCTGAAACCATTTACTATGGTGAAGAAATGTGTGAGGAGAGCTGGCTTGAATGTAAAGGTGAGAACTTCAGTTTTGACATACGTTTGAGACACCTATTAGATAGCCAAGTAGACATGTTAAATAGGTAGTTGTATACATGAATCTGGAGTTTAACAGAGGCCTGGGCTAGAGATAGAATTTTGGGAGTCCTTGGCATATAAATGTATTTAAAGCCCTAAGACTAGACAAAAGTGCTCATAAAGTGAGTAAGATAGAGAAGACAAAAGGCTGAACCCTGGGGCACACCAATGTGTAGAGACCTAGGAGATAAGGTCATCTACCATCTCCATGTAAAAATAGAGGAGAGATGAATGTGTTAATTAGCTTGATTGTGGTGATCATTTCATAATGTATACATATATCAAAACATCACATTGTACTTACACCTCAAATATATACGATTTTTATTTGTCAAGTGTATCTCAGTAAAGCTGGAAAAAATGTTAAATGATAGGGTATAACTAGTCTGCTTATCCTAAAGGTCCCTTTATGCCACCCACATTTGATCCTCTTTGGACATTGAATTTTCAGCTTGTTTTAGAAATTTCTTCACAACTGCTCTATCATTAAAGATGACTTGCGTACTATGTCTTTAATCCAAGCCTTCTTTTAATATGGCTGTATTTAAGTGTAACGTTCCTATGGGGCGAAATATTTGATTTTTAAAAATGTCTATTTTCTTAAAGGCTGAAGATCATTATATTCCCTCCAATTCCTGATCCTGGCAAGATTTTTAAGGAAATGTTTGGAGACCAAAATGATGATACCCTGGTAAGCTGTGACTCCATGAGATTCAAAATTGGTGGTTTTGGAGGCTATGGAATTTGTTTTTAGTTTAGTAAAATACAGGGTGTCCCCAAAATGTATACATGGCGTCTGTAGATTCTATTACATTTTGAAAATGAAATGCATTTTAATAAACACTGGCTTTATAATTATTCAAAGTGTGTATACATTTTGGGGACACCATATATATATATATATATATATATATATATATATATATATATAAAAAATAAAATTAACCACTTTAACCATTTTTAAGCGTACAGCTCAATGGCATTAAGTACATTTATAATGTTGTGCAACCATCATCCCTATTTCCAGAACTTTTCCATTATCCCAAACAGAAACTGGGCCCATTAAACAATAACTTCCCATTCCCCTCAGTCTGGTAACTTCTATTCTACTTTCTGTCTTTCTGAATTTGCCTACTCTAGGTGCCTCATATAAGCAGAATCCTTCAGTATGTGTTCTTTTGTGTTTGGCTTCTTCCATTTAGCATAATGTTTTCAAGGTTCATCTATGTTGTAGCATGTGTCAGAATTACATTTCAAAATTGGTTATTTGAAACTACATTTTATTTAAAATATTAATAAAGAGCTGATTAAAAATGTTGTATCTCAGTCCAAGCATAGCATTTAAGAAGTCCCCAGAACACTGTCTATCTCATATCATTTGCCTTCATTCTCTCTCTGGGGTAGGGGGCATATTTGATCCAAATATGTTGGGCAAAGAGTCTCAATTATGAAACTAGCCCAATAGGCAAGGCTTCTGACTCTCTATCGCTTGATTTAATATAAATTATAAAGATAGGGTAAACAATTGAAATTGATTCTGTTCATGTTATTGCCTCGAAAGCTGTTCTCTGAAGGTATGGAAGTAAAGCAAACTCATCAAGACTGTTATCGTTTGCTGCAAATTCTCATGTTTGTGGCTAGAAAACCTAGGACCTTATGAAAACAAAGGGGTTTGAAGTTACTCTGATAAAAACATTCACCCAAATAAAATAATGAAGACATTAAATGAAATGAATATAAATAATATTATATATATCCTAAATAAGTAATATCAGGGATAGAGCAGTTAATTTAGGGAAGTAGGTCAGCATAGCAGATAATAGTCTGGGCTCTGGAGTCAGATTGTCTGGATTCAAATCTCTGCTGTGTCATTTAACCATCTATTTGACCTTAGGGAACTTCCTTAACCTCTCTGTGCCTCCGTTTTCCCATTTATAAATGGAAGGTAATGGTAACACCTGCTTCATAGTGTTGTTATATGGATTAAGTTTATTTAATACATAAAAACTGCTTGGTTTGTCTGGCACATTATAGATGCTTAGTAAGTATTAGTGATTAGTATTACTATTGATAATACTTCCCATTTATCTTTAGCCCTCAAACAATTTTTGTACTAATGAGTGATTCACAATGGCAGCAATAACATGTGGCTAGGGAAGAAAGACAGTGAGGCTGACATGCTAGTTGAGGATGATTCATTCGTATCACTTTTTCACCACGTCATGATCACAGACAGTGGGTAACTGCCAGACCTTGGGGGATAGGGCACCACTAGGCAGGTAGTTCCAGAAGTCAGCTCCCTGAGGAGGAGATTGTACACTGTAACTGAGGTGACTATGACAACCAGTGATTCTTCAACTTTAGTTGAATCACAATCAACTAGAATGCTTGTAAGAACATAGAATCTTGGGCCCTAGCTCTAGAAATTCTGATTCAGTAGGTCTGGGATGGGGCCCAGGAGTCCACATATTTGACAGGAGCCCACAGATGATTCCTATCCTGGCAAGATAGTCTGTGGACTAGACTTTGAAAATTACTGTTAAAGTCTATTATGTGCCAGGCAATATACTAAGTGCTTTGCTTATATTCCCTTATTGAGTGCTCATAACCACTCTGTGATGTAGGTGTTTTTAGTATCATTTTACAGATGAGGAAATGGAGCCTCAGCAAGGTTAAGTAACTTTACTGAGGTCACACAGCTAGTAGGTAAAAGTTAGGTGAGATTTGACCCAGGACTGTCTGATTCCAGAGTCCTTTCTTTCCACTATGCTGCATTGTCTCTTGTAAGATAGAATGCTTGTCTTCAAGAAAATCACTTCTTCAAAGAGTTCTGTATGATAGAAGTAGAAGGTTGGGATAGGGGAGTTCTGGGAAAAAGATGTTGCATGACATTATGGCTAGCCTTATATGGGAAGGTATTAGGAATGTCATTCTGATAATAGAAGAGAATGGATTAAAGGGGGGAGGCACTAGCAAACTGGGAAACTAGTCCCAAATTTGCCCCATAGACGTTTTGTTTGGCCAGCATGATATGTTTAATGTTTTTCAATTTGGAATCTTAAACAGGGCACACACTCTCCAATTCATCTTACCCCTACCATTCCTAATTGCCACTGTGGTTTCACACGATGACCTAACATGCCAGACCCCTAAAAGGCACTTGAGTTTGCTACTATTAGCAGAATGAAGACCAAAGTCCCATGACACAAACATCCAATATCTGTAAAAACATGTTTGGACTCACTGATACACACAAGACATGCCAACCAAAGCATAGATAAGATATAAATTTCCAGCCTAATAAATTTCTAAGAGGTGATAATAGCCAGTGTTAACAAGTAGGTAGGGAACTGACACTTTGTATGCATTGCTGGGGGGGGGGCCTGTAAAATGGTATGTATTCCTGTTGGAGAGCAACTTGGTAAATTGTAACAAGGATCTTTGATCTTGCAGTTATACTTTTAAGAATCTATTCTAAGGAAATAATCCATCAATGGCTAAGGATTGTCAATGCAGTATTTGTTTCTAACATGAAAAATTAGAAACCAGCCCAGCCAGTGTGGCTTAGTGGACTGAGCATCATCTCATGGACTGAGAGGTCCTGGTTCAATTCTTGGTCAGGGCACATGCCTGGGTTGTGGGCTCGATCCCTATTAGGGGGCATGTAGGAGGCAGCCGATCAATGTATCTCTCTCACATTGATGTTTCTATCTCTCTCCCTTCCTCTCTCTAAAATAAAAAACAAAATCAGTGAAAACATAGTTAAAAAATTAGAAACCAATGAAACAACAATTGAAATTAGTTTTTTAAGTTAGGTTTTCAAAGCATTTAATGTCATAATAAAATATTCATCATAAAAGAAACATATCATAAATGTGTATTGTATTATAATCCTAATTTTTTTTTAAAAATGAATGAATATGTACACAGAACAACGAGTGGTTAAACATGGGTTAAAATTACCATCTCTGGCAGAGCGATTGTGGGTAATTGATATCATTCTCTCCCTACCTTTCTGAAATTTCCAAATTGCCTATAATAAGCATGTATTAATTTTATGATAAAAATAAACCCTGTATAAGTTATTAAGGTAACAGAGAATATTGTAATCATTGAGGTCTGAGAGATAATAGGGACTTGAACCAGGGTGGTAGCAGAGGAAATTGATGCGAGACATTATTAAAGGAAACTCATTAGACTTGGTAACCCTCTGTGGGTGATGAAAGGCGGGTAGAGAGTAAAATATAATTTCAAGATTTCAAGCCTGGATGATAGAGTGAATGATGGTAACACTGACAGCAAAATCAGATCAATTTTTTTTCTCGGAGATGGGGAAATTTTTTTTTTTTCCAATTTGCTGTCTAGAGGATAATACATTGTCCCAGTGAGTCAGATAATGCTATAATTTAGTGAGGTGGATACACTGATAAGATGGACCACTAAAAGCATATGATGATTTTGTTTGTGATGGTTGCAGACCATTATATAAAATCAATATTTAAAACTAAAAGTCTAATAAAAATACAAGTCTGGGGATAGGGTAATAGAACAAATTTTCATATGTTTCCTTTTTAACCACATGAACAATCTTTACGTGGCAGCAGTCTTCCCAAATTGAACTGCACATCCAGCAGAAAGGCTACTCTTATTTCTAGAATCATTGAATTAAAAAATGAACATGGGCCCTAGTCGTTTTTGCTCAGTGGTTAGAGCATCTGCCCACAGATCAAAAAGTCCCAGGTTTGATTCCAGTCAAGGGCACGCACCTTGGTTGCGATTCGTCCCTGGCCCTGGTTGGTGTAGTGCGGGAGGTAACCAATTGCTGTGTCACTCTCATCGATGTTTCTCTCTCTCTCTTTCTTTCCCTTCCTCTCTCTCTAAAAATCAATAAAAGAAAAAAATTAAAAAATAAAGCAAAAAACTTCTAAAAAAAGGAATGAACATGGCCCTAGAGGTCATCTAATGAGGTAGAGGTTTACATGGTTAATGATATTTCTTTAATTATAAAATTTTTAAACTCTAGATTGTAGTCCTACCCCTTCACTTGAGAGATGGGGACATTGGGGGCTACAGAGAAATTTCTCAAAGACTAGTACTTAGATAATTGCAGAACCTGAATGAGAAGCCATTCTAGCCCAAATTACTGTCTCATAATCCAAAGAAATAATCCATGCCCTTTCTAAACACTTTTTCCTTCCACAGTACACCATTAGTAGTGGTTCTTTAAAAAATCATTTAGGTGTGGCCACAAATTAATTAAGTCTTCTGTGTCGTTTTCCATTAGGTTTCAAGTGTTTTGACAGTGTTTTGTTCATCACTATAGTAACATTTTGGCCAACAGCATTTCTTCCTGTTCCTTCGCTGTTTGCCTTTTCTCTATGACTAGTTGGGCTGCTGGCCATATTGTGGGGATACACACAGGGGATTGCTTCTCCTTTGCATCTGTATTTCTTTTTCATCCACAAAAAATTATCTCTTATTCTCCTACTTCTTAGAAACCAATTATATTTTCAGTGCCAGTTTTGCATTCCTGACTGGAAAGCAGCTTTTCAACTTGGCGTTAACTTCAAAATATTGCTGATTTTTTTACTTCAGTATATCTCTTTAAAAACTAAGAATGTTATAGTCAAAATAGCATGATCATACTTCAAGAATTATTTACTTATTTATGTTCCCTCACCCGAGGACATT